CCCCCCCTCTGTGTTGTCACGGTTACGTAACAACATATAGTGGTCCCTCTAATATTGTTTCAACCCCTGGACGGGTTTGGTTTGTTCTGTTAGTATTAGCGTGTGTGTTGTGTGTTTGTATGCTTACGTGGTTCCGTTTGGTGTGTGCTAACTTAATAACTACCCGTATTAGTACAAAGAAGGACGGGTATTCTGTAAGGACTATCTGCTCCACCAATATTCTCCGACAACTTAATTCCAGTCGTGGAGTGGCAGTTCGGTCTCTACAAAACGAAGGAAGCTCTCAAAAGGAGTCTAAACTGTCTTCTTGTGTATAAATCATCGGCGAGATAAAAAAAAAACGTTGGCTCCGTCTAAGAGATGAACTAGAACTGAACTGGGGGTATTTGAGATATTGTGAATGTCGCGACCATTCCGTACCTCCTCCCATTGTTTGATTTACTTACACAGGGAGTCGGCCGTGGGAGGTATTGGAGAACAAGTAGTAGTCGTTATTGTATAAAAAACCTGTCCGTGCTCGAAACAGTCGTACGTCCTTTACACACTGTAGTGATGTCGTGAACTGTGTGTGTGCCAGAGAGTGTGTGTGTATTTTCACACACCTAACTAGTATAGTCAAAGTAAGTCGTCTATGTCATACTTAGGGGTTAAGTATCTAATTCTGCCAAGGTAAATAAAAGTCACTAACTTCACTGAGGTAGGTCGACTGGAGCCCGTTCCAGTAAAACAATGACTTTCCATAATCTCTTAGATAGCTTCCTCCCATAATTAGTCCATGTGTAGACTATCATTCCTCTATCTCTACCTATACGACGGTCGGTTGTACCGAGTCGGGGCCGGATATGCGAAGGATTTGACAAACTAGTGAGGGCTGCCCGGGGACGTACAGTCGTGTGGACTCTCAAATTGTTCCTCGAATCCGTCGCTGACCTAGTGTTGACTGGCTATTTGTGAGAGGTAGCAGTACGGTTTTTGGCATGTGGTGCAGGTATTCTGTTTCTGTCTTTTGTAGTTATAAGGGACACTACCGACACCTCATGTCTAATGACTTCGGTTTACAACCGGAAAGGTGGTCAATTTCTTGTGTTGTTACTTCTCCCCAGGGGAAATTATAAAAAAATTTTGACACCTTTTTTTATGATGGTAAAAAAAGGGTGTCCCAATTAAAAACTTCACCGGTCCACATGAAATTATAATTTCGAGGGGTGTTCTTTTTTTTTGCACCAACATTTAAGTATTTTAATGTTTAATGTTCAATTCATTTGATAAAGTGAGTCCAAAATTTCAACGTTACTTCCCCGTCAGAATAAGTACCTTATTTGAAATGTACTCGTATAGTCATTTACACTATAACTTCCGGGACGATAAGTCTAATGTGGAACCGATACATTATATTCGTTTGTTATAAACATGTCTTCCTAGGTGGTCAATTCTAAGGACTTGACCATTTTTCACGACGGCTAAGCGGTTAGAGGTTCGTCTTACCAAACAGAAAAGTCTCCTAAAACATCCCTTAGGGTTTGACGTGCACCGGGGTTTCTTATGCTAGGTAAAATTTGGGTTTGGACTGCGTCATCTAGGCGACCACGCGGTCGGGCTGTGACTCCTAGATATTTAGGAGTCACAAGACTCGCCACCATTGCGAAACTCTTTGTCACCTGCAGGGTCAGGTGACACCTCTACCCTCTATTCGAAAAATATCATCTATATGTACTAGGAGAACAATATTATGTAATGGTATAGATCGGTTTACTTATTTAACCGATACGGTGACTAGCAATAAAAAAAAGTCTATGATAAAAATTATAGCATAATAACTTTGTAGTTATAAAATACTATTAATTTTTTATATATAATAAATACTGAATTATAATTCCTGAAATGGCTACTACGAAGGCTAGGCACCACTTGAGCCATTGGGAGACACCAACCAGATCATATACTAATCTGTCACCAACCCAAGGGAGAGAACGGGTACTTCTGAACTCGCAGTCTTATACTCTAACATGTACCCGACTTGGACTTTAGTCTCTGCCAAGTGACACCACTCGGCTTCTGAGGTACGTGAATTGTGAGGTGCGTTTGTTGCCGTGGGGGGTCCGTCGGATAGGTACGGAGCCGAAGGATGGTTGTAGAGGGAGAAGCAGGGAGACGGAAGCCTTGTTCTTCCTGGGTTCTCCCTTCTTTTCACGAACTTAAACGTATAGACTACCTTAAAAAATCTTCACCGTTCAAAGCAGTGGTTTTAGATGCACTCTATTGATTTGTTTCTTGCGCAGCTTTGTCCGTTTTGCAGCCGCTCCGTCCTCCACACACCCGGAGGCTGTGTGAGCTGCTGCCATTAATTGCCTCTGTGTGTGGGTAAACATGTTTATTCATACAGAGAGAGTTAAAAGTGGGAAAATAAGATATAAAGGAAGCAGAAATAATTTGTTTTATACCTGGGATGTGCTTGGCCCAGCCGATGATGACCACCAGCTCGCGGTCAGCCAGGTCGCACAGCGTGGTCAGAGCCTTGATGTCGCTCTCCGGCATGGTGGGGTCAGGCATGGCATAGATCTTCTCTGGCTCCGCCACCAACAGGTGAGACACTATCTTTGTGACTGTGGATAGAGGAGGGGGGGGGATGTCAAAGCAAAGCAGAAGTCAAAGGTTGTATCACTGTAAAGCTCAGCGAGGCATGAAGATGCACTGCCCTGATAAACATCTGTGAAAATGTAACAGGCAGTCGAATGGCGGCCTCACTTTCAAAGATTCTTTCTCTGTCCCATTATGCAAACTAATGGATGGAGCTTGAATGTGAAAAGTAAAATTAAGGCACTGAAAGCTCTTATCCCTACAGAATGCATGCGAGTGGATGAAAATGCATATGTGAAAATATAAGAGTCCTCTAGCACTCTGTTCTTAAATATCCTCTACTCAGAGATTAATCAAAATACAGAACAGAAATATACCTGGCCTATTTTTATGACCAATGATTCCTTAATTGCCCGAACATGGCAGAAACAGGAACTTGAAACTGGGCTAGAATATCAGATTTACATGCAGGTGCAGGACAGAGACAATGGGAAAGTGATGGATCAGTACTCACGAGGCTTTTTGGTGGGAGGGGGCAGCGTCAAGCCCAGGTAGGGGTTGTTTTCTGCGTCCAACCTCCGCTTGTACTTCTGTCTTCCCCCGCGCACGCGGTCCAGACGAACCCCTTGGGTCAGAAACAACAAAAGGGACATGAGATTAAGAGAGTGTCGTTTTTCCACAATGCATTTTAGGGGAATTAAAATACATGATAATCAAATAGGTCAAAAATGGGTAATACATGCATTGGCTAAATCCAAGTTTTACAACAAAGAACAAAAGTGTAGGGTGATGATCAGAGATGACACCCTAACATATTCTGTATTAGATCATGTGTTGAAGTGGTACTGTAAAAGGACTGCATAGTGGTGTGTGTGTGTGTGTGTGTGTGTGTGTGTGTGTGTGTGTGTGTGTGTGTGTGTGTGTGTGTGTCAGAGGCACGGCTGCCTTCCCATATGTGGTCCATGCCTGGCTGGTCTACTGTGACACAGCTGAGCCCAGAGCAGGTCTAAACATATGAATATTTAACGCAGGGTCAATGATCTCACAGACTGGCCCTCTAATTATTTAGCTTTTGGGGTGAGGCAGACTGCATACTAATTAGCTGCCAGCTAACATGCTCGCGTGGGTGTGTGAGAGCTCAGGTGTGCGCTCTTTGGTATCCAGAAAAAGAAACTTAAACCAGCCTACAAGCAAAGACACAGTCCCGCACACACTGTACAAAATATCCGCTGTCATACTGCAGATAGATAACTAGGTATTGCTTTCCCATAAAAGACCCTTATTTCACCCCTCTTTCACTGGAGTAGCACTGAGGCCTTATCACCCCCAGCCACACCTAGGGGGCCAGGTTGCACACTGATACTGTAAATGTCAAGCCGGCCTCATCATAACATAAGTTATTTATTATCTCATTATTTGATAAGAATGTTTCCATTTGGATGTCTTTTCTATTCATTTTCAACATAGTTAAAATATTTCATCTATGCTGTTGTATTTATTTGATACCACCGGGCAGGTATTTGGTTATTTAATGCGAGTGCATGCAAACATTTATATCCTGCATCCCTATATTTGGAGCAGCATGTCACCGCAGACTAAATATCCCTGATATCTTAATCCTGTCAAGAGGGAGAATCCCTTCAATTTACGTTGTGTGCATAATGTAACCAACCCCCAAACAAATGTAATACTAAAGGGTGGATGAGAGAAGGCTCAATGAAATGCTTGCGGTGGAGGAGGAGTTAATTTGTCAGTCGCCCGCGTCCTCTGAGCGAACAACACCCGCAGCCAGAGCACTTCCTTGATGATTTCATCACTTTATAACAGGGAGGACGGTGTCAAACCTGGGCATTGTGTGGCCCCTGCAAATGAGCCTAATACAATTTGCCCATCAGCAAGTGCTCTTGGAGGGGATGAGTTTGGATGTGTCCCATGCACGGTGATTGGAGGTCGGGTGGAAAATCAGATAATGCAAGATGGAAGGTGGTCTTCATTTAACAAAGAGGAATTCAACGGTGGATTTATGCAAAATATCTTCTTTATTTTTGCCGCTTATCTTTTGTGGCCATAGCCTCATCACACTCACATTGAATGCATGGTGAGGGGTCCAGTAAACGGTAATATCATGCGACTGTAGAATAGAGATTTCTTCTACTTATATAAATTATTTGATTCCCTAGAAACACAAATCTGATTAGAATTGTCTTTCAATTTCCTGACACTGACAACCCACTAACCTAATTACCCCAATTCCCAACAGAGCCTCTTACTTCCCAGCAAGCACCAGGGAATCATCTGCTGGCAACTACCTGCGCTTTACACACACTCGTACACATTTTCCTTTTTATGTGTAACATATAAAGAACGTTTGTGTTTTTTCTGTGAAGGTGTCTTGAGAAAAGTCTTCAAAGACCCTCTACTTGCAGCTCAAATTGTTCAGATTTTCTAGTTTCTATAGTTTCTTCCGGCTCCACCAATGAGCTGCTAGTTGGCTGCTTTCTGCTCTCCATGATCCTCTCTGCTGGTTGAGTCATGTGGCTGTGTAAAGCCAGCCATGGAGGTAGATGGGTGCCTCTTTTAATTAGAACAGTCCTGGCCATAATTAACAGATGCTGACAGGTTATTGCCGAGCTTTAATTCCTGTCTCATTTTACTGTCCAACAGGGCCAGATACAGTCCGAGAGGAAGACAGAGTGATTAAAAGCAGCTAGACGGATTCATTCACTGTGGTCGGGACTTTATTGGGGCCTTCGTGAGGTTCATATGTCCCTTTGGTGGCACCAGCAGCTTCAGTCTCTGACCGCTCTGTTGTGTTCCCTCCAAAGTAAACAGTCGGAGCGTTATAAATGTGTGAAAAGAGTTGAGCACTGCCTCATCCAGAGACATCTCAATGTTTTATGGCCCACCACAGTCTAGTGAGGGTAGCAGCGGGTGATCTCGGGTATCATCTCTTCAAAGCAGGGTGCAGGGTGCAGGGGGAGAGGGCTTTTGGCCGAGGCGGCTGGCATTTGTGCACGGATTAGCGCAGGCCTCTGGGGTGGGGGCTGAGGCCAGCTGACCTGGGGCTCTTCTTTCTCTCCAAAAACAATAATAATCCCCTTCCGAGTACACTCCTACAAAAGGGCCTGTCTTCACTCACTTTGTGTGGCCGGCCGTGCTAGGGGCCCTTATTCTGAGTCCCTCACCTGTTCTGGGTGTCTCTCCCTGGGGACAGTGTCAGGATGTCTGGGATGGTTGGCAATGCCAAGGGGGGCTTAGGCGGACCCTATTTTAGCTGGGAAAATCAGAAGGCCACATGGTAAGGCATGGTGAACCTTGCCTTTCAAGGAAGCCGCCACACTAAACTGCCGTCAGCACTATTTCAAAGGACCCCTGTTGCCAGCTTTGCATGCTTGTAAGTGTGTTGCAGCATTTTTAATCACGAGTGGTGATGAGCAAGGGTAGCGGAAAAATTGTCACGCATTGCCCACCTCCCCTTCTGCTGACCCCGGGGGCTGCCATACTGACACTCCTTGTCACAGAATCCATTTACAGGTTAGCTTCAATATCCCCAGTGAGCTGACATCCCTGCTCGCTCTGCTAATTGAAAACACTAAATGGTACTTAAACTACATTTTAGATTACTCTGAATTACAGCATTGAAAACAAATTGAATACAAAAAAATGTTGGTCAGCTTTCTCCCCCGCTCTTTTTTCTTCTGTTGCTTACTTTAGTATATGCCAATAATACATATTGGATGCAGACTGCATTTGTCTTACTAGTCTTGAACACATGGGGACATTTACGTGTCTTGTATTTCAGGCACTATACATGTGAGGTGGTTTGTGTGTATGTTCTGTATGTTGCTATGACGGGGCTATTGTGGGATTTGGTTGTCCTTTGCGTGCCAGCCTGCTGAACAATGAGAGGTTATAGTATATCAGCTGAGCCACACTTTAGTCCTTTGTTCGGCCAATGTTCACGACTGTCCTCTTACAGTGAGACAGGATACTTCTACTTTTAAGCTTAGTGCTGTCACACAGTGAAGACTATGTAACAAGTACTATTGTCTTGGCTCAACGCTGCAGATAAAAATATATAGAACTTCACAGAATTATTTTTTCTGCACTTGTGTGTATGTGTGGAGGGATCTGTCAGTTTAAAGGATGGAGAAAGGAAGTCAGTGAAGAGAGCAACTGCCACTGAATGATGTCAATGTAATCTCTCAATAGCATCTCGTCTTCTCTCTCGCTCTAAGCTCTGATCCGTTTCCATTGATCAGAGGAAAAACCTGTTGCCACTGACATTTGATTATTCTATTGATCACATCCTCCTTTATACAGTCAAGGGAAAGTACAGCGACACAGGGTTTAAGCAGCTCTCCTGTAATCGGACTTCTGATCTTCAAAGACCATTTTCCCAACACCTATCACCACACTTTGAGATATGAATGCTACAGCTTATACGCTTGTGCGGTAGATATTAAAGGACTTTTACTACTGAGAATATAAACAGAAATATCTAACTTTCTAAGAAGACTTTGAGTATTCTTACTTATCCAGAGACATTGATGGATTTAAACGTCTGTTCTCATTAGGTGGCAGCAGTGTATTTTGTTGGAGCTGTAAAGTTATAATTAGTAGATTTTCCATTGAGACACAATGTGACCTTTCTGCAGTAATGAAAGTAAGTGGCAACCTCAGTCACATGAGCGGTGACCATCTCCACACCCGGGCCTGAGCACGGCGTTGAGCTGATGGCTTCATAGAGCTTACAGTGGACAGAGACCCTGTGCCTCTTTCCATTTAGTCTTGGTAACGCTTTTAATTGCCTGGCCTCAAGGCAGAGCTATCGTGGAAAAAAATGCACCCCACATCTCTCTGTTAATCATGATAGATGTGTTGTTTTTGTGATCATATTTTGAAGGAAAACTTTTTTATGGCTTTTTATTTGACTATCTATGACGATAACACCTGAGCAAGACTTCAATCAGCCTGTGATAATAGTTGCAGTGTGGTGATGACATCCACTGTTTAAAAGATGAGGGTCATTCTTATTCTGGGAATGTGCTGAATACACAGAAGTGTGCAGCATTAGAAGCTCGGGCTTAGCCGAAGTCTGCATATTTGAGTTTTACACTCTTTTTACTCCGACTTGACACTGGTCATTCATTTATAGCCACGGCTACATATTTTTGTAGTCTCTTATTCTCCAAGATGATATATTGGCATACATTTTTCATCAGATAGTAATGCGATTACTCTGTCTTTCTGGCACTGAGGCTTTATCTGGCTGCATGCAGTCCAGGGGATTCTGTTACTGTGTGGAGATCCATACGGGCTACGACTCTGGCTTCAGGTGGCGACCGGATATATATGCATCTATAAATCCTGCTCTCCGATGAATAATGGAATGAATAATGGTGTGATATATATACACTGCACAGAGTCTGACAGAGGACTTAAAAGTGGAAGTTTGCACAGTTTCATTCATCAAAGCGACTATCTGGCAGTATTTATACCACTGTATAAACATGAGGGACAGTCGTACTTAAGTGCTACCTGACCCGCACTCATCAGCACTCGAGGAAAACATGTTTCCTTACAGAGCCCCTGAGCTACTCCCAGAGGAGGCTTGAATAAATATAACACCGCCACTTCACCCCGAGCCACATATCTTTCATTATTCATTTGTCTGGCTCTTTTGGACCAACAAGTGAGAAAGAGAAAGAGAGAGGCAGGTGAGAATGCATCGGCTAATGCAAGGGGGAGATCGGATAGGTGCCTCCCCAAGGAAGAGCAACCAAGTCCTGGGGTCTCAGGGGGATCACTCAGGGCCACAGAGGGGGGAGGGGAGGGGGGGTGGGGAAACCCAGCCAGACAAATCCATCGGAAGCATGTTTAATCGTCACTGAATTCCCTGCTGGCGTGACTTTAAAAAGCCATCCGCAGGAAGAGAGCTGAGATGTTCGGAAAACATTTAGTGGATCAATAAGCCGGGGAGAGCTGAGGCTGTGGCCAGTGTGTGCTCAGGGACCCGACCAGAGCCTTCCCAGGCGGAATACTGTTACATTTCTATTACTCAGACGGCAGGATCAACCTATTCAGCATATTTCTGTCCCCGGCTCAACTGCACATTATTTACTGCTGTGTAGGTAGGGGGAGGACAGGGGGAGGCTGGGAACTGTTGTCCAAGCCTGACTGTTGTATGCAGCTCTCGCTCAGGGCTTGTAGATGAGAAATACTGTGGGACTCATTGCTGAAGCATTCTGGGACTTCATTAAACACGTACCATGAGAGCTAATATGTGATAATGTAATGTTCCACTAGCAGCTCCTTTATCAGATCAATGGTGGTTTCTTTATTTGCATGAATCTTATGTAAACATTATAAGCTAAAACAGCTGGAGTGTGTGTATTTGTGGGTGTAAGAATAATAAAAATGCTCTTACTCTTCTTACCTTCTTTGAGCATCCCCACTTTGAGGCATTTCATGAAGCGACAAGCCTGACATGACTTGCGTCTCCGTTTTGTGATCTCACACTCATTTGTGGCAGGACAGCTGTATTCTATGTTACCTGAGGAGAACGAGGAGAAGACCATGTTAACACAAACACAATCAGGGTTTATACAGGGCCTATGAATTCTCATTTTTAACTTAATGATTGTGAACAAATTAACAGAATGGGTAGAATATGAGGTGAGCAGTAATGTACACAAATGTCCTGGTTGTTTTATAACAAGACAACATAATAGTTTTTTATGTTTTCTGAAATGTTATATGCTCATCTGAATACAGATCTGGGAGAAAAAAACGTGAACATTGGATGAAGCCTGGTTCAAAGTCATTGATTGTGTTGATATATTGGAGTTAAAGTACATTTTATAAGGGTCATTTTTACTCAATTATTAAAAAAAATAGTAAAACAATCGATTTTCAACATGTTTTTAGGAATACATATTACATAAATTAGGCTATGAATGACATTATAATATAGATAAGAATGGAACTGGAATGTTTGGTCTATGTTAGTGCTATTGAAGTGGACATTTCTGTCTCTGATAATTAGAAGAAAAAAAAAATTAAAAGACATGCATTGTTAACTTAATTCATAAAAAAATGAAATGTGTAATTTGGATTTTTCCCCCCACTATAATGGAAGCAAAATAGCCTCACAAAATGGACCAGTGTATAAAAAGTGTCGCACCTAAAGAGAACCTAATGGTAAACAGGTTGCTGCTACTGATGTAATAAACACCAGTATGCACTCTATGCTCTACAATAAATCATCTTTTGCCAACCAGGCATGGGCACTTTTTACCATATGGATTCCTATAGGATCCGTTTCTGTGGTGCAGGTGGCTCAGGTGTTCTCCTGTGAGGGCAGAGCCTTGCAGCACTGAGGGTCCCGGCAGCAGGAGGAGCTGGAGTAAGAGGTAAAGGGGGGATGTGGGGGTGGAGGTAAAGCTACAACAGTCCTTTAGGACCCATCAGTAGACGCCACCCAGGTCCAACACTAAATTGGCCTCATTAATTCTGTGCGTGTCCCCTCCGGGCCCCGGGCCGTGTCCCCCGCGCTCAGAGGGGCCTGCCACCGCCTCAATAGCAGGCAAGAGAGCCAGACACGCTGCCCCTGACCACTTTACATAATACTCCAGCAGACCCAAACCTGTTGTTACCACTGTTGCCATTGTTGACTATTTACATAGTGTACAGGCAAGAGGCCTTATGCATTATTCAACTGCAGCGTCTGATTCCAGGACGGAGCAATGAAAAAGAGTTTCACTGCTGCACAATAAAAGAGCCGGCTCTGCTCTACTCTAGCATTAGCGATAGGAAGGGCAGCATATGTAAGGCAATGCCTCCGCTTCTGTCTGATTCCCTACATTTTACTGTATTCAGGGGTTTTCAATAAAGGGTTTCAATATAATGGTTGCCTCAGCCTAGGAATTTGAATTATCCTCGTTTTGAATGGGCATTCAGCTTTAAAGCGTTTGACATTGGGATGTTTCTAAACTTTTCTTTTAACCTGGGGTTTATGTCTTTGTCAGTATAGTAAAAAAAATGGTTGAGTAAAAATCGAATTTAATTATCATGATAGCCTTTCTTATCCACTAAAATACATGCCAGTAACAATGTCAGCAAATACCCTTTCAGTTTAAAGTAGTAAATATACTCATGTTGTACAGCAACGCTTTTACAGATGAAGCTTTTTTTAAATTGGGCAGGGGCCGATCAGGATTGCAGCTGCTCTCAGCTCTGACCCTCACTCTGTATTTTCTGTACAGAGTAACAGAAAGCTGTGTAATATTCCACATGCGTTCCTCCACTAGCCCCTCCAACATCCTTTGACAACTTATGCAATTATGTTAACATTATTGGACAGATCAAGTGGAGGGTCCCAAGATGTTATAAATAATTAGAAATTCCTCCTTATATCTGGGTTAGAAATCATTATGCTAATTCTCCTCATCTCTTTGGGATTGGGGTAAATAAAGGTGTGAGGGAAGGCGGCTGATTAGCTCTGATTGTCTTTCCTCTGTCTGTTTTCTCTGTTGTCATAGCAGACCCAGACCATAATAATCCTATCCATTTCCCATATGCTGGGAGGAGGCAATCAGTGCCACCCTGTGCTGGAATCAACTCTTGGAGGTCTTTTTAGTTTGCGTTCCCATTATACACTAACCAATCAGCAATTTGAAGGGACTAAATGCATAAAAGAAACATTTTGATTGCAAATCTGAAAAATCTTTACTTCTCACTTCGCTGTGTCGCAGGTTTGCTTTCACCACCTAACCCGGCACAGTTAACCCCGAGTGTCCCCGAGGACTCTTTGTTTATGGGGGTATTTTTCTCCCACTCTCCCTCTCTCCTCCCCACCCAGTCTCAGGGGTCCCAGGGAAACGTGCTGAAACCACACCTGGCGGTTAACTAAGAGTTAGGGCTTTATTATCTCACACTCCAGAAACAAACACACGCTCACACACTGCTGTGCTACCGTGTCCCCCTGTCTGTGAGAGAGGGCTTCTCGTAGCTCAATGCAGAGCGAAGGCTGGATTAACTCAGTTCTCATCCCTATGTTGGGTTTATATTTAGGAGAGGTTTCAGTATCAGTATTTGAATTCCCATTTCAAAACCAGCCTGACGTCTTTTAGCTGAGCTAAATTACAATAAGCTCCGACCCATTTGGGAATACTTATTTAATTTCATAGTGATATAAGTCAAATATGAAGTCAAATGTTTATATTCAAATGGATAGGGCATTATTTATAGATCAGAACTGGTTACGAATATATTTGATTTAAGAAATGATAATCTCTCATGCTGGTAAATGTTTGTTTTTATCAGTAATGTTTGTAACCAGAGGGGTAAGCCTTTTAATTCAAATTCATTATGCTAACATTTTCATTTACACTATTTGTAAAATATACCTACAATTTAGGGTTTAGATTTCGTCTTGATTATAACTGTGACATAATAACAAATGCAAATATAAATATTTATGTTCAAGCATTTAACTTTAACTTCCAACATAATTGGCATTATTAGTGTAAGATATAGACATTATTGTGTCTTTCTTGTTTTTGTGTCGATTAATGTTTCTTTTTTCATAGCAATCTTTAGTTTGTTGACCAAAATGTTCCACTCAATGAATGATTAAACCTTTTTTACCTGAATACAACTGAACCAATTAATGTAACATAAAGGTTACAGGATTGACCAGAATGACTGAATATGAACAGTGAACAGTAGTTAAACAAAGTGTCTGATTCAGTTGGGAATTTGTGTTTTCAGTAGTTTAAAAAAAATCAAATGCTTTGCAATAACCCTGTCAGTCAGACATGATGTCTGGAAATCGTGGCTTTAGAGTAAAAGCATGGCCAGTTTCACTTTCAGAAATGAAGCATACTGGCGGGAACCCCTTTAACCCCGGGGCCATGCTCTGGTTTATCTGTCTTTAGAGAGGTTATGGTATGGTTACCAATAACATTACAGAGTGAAGGGAGAAGAAAAGATTTCCCCCCTTCTTCTCTTGATAAGTATCTGTCTCAATCTATTTTATGGCTTTTCAGGACCCATGCCAGGGCACAGAGGGGAAAGTCAGGTCTTGTAAGTAAATTACAGTAAAATGGCAGGTATTTCTCATCAAAATCTAAACTGACTTTTACAGGCTTACTGTCAAGGTCTATTACTTCATACAAAAAGGGGGCCACTGAGTTCAGTCGGTTTTCAAGCAATTTTACACTTGGGTTCAAAATGGGAAGAAAACAGGGTTCAATAAGAGATTTATGTTTTTGATTGGTGGGGCACGTGGGGTTCAGAAATGGCGGGATGATTAGGGAGCAATGAGAACAGCCGTATTTCTGGGATGGATGGAGATTTAGGTTGACATTAATTTGGACCTGGCCTTGACTAATGTAACTATCTGCACGTAAGAGTTCAAGGGGCTTTTCACTGGATGAATAGGTGACAGAAGATGGATTCTTCTTCCGCTCTTGTAAGGAAAAGTAAAGGCATAAGCTAAAGAAGTTAAGCTGGAGCAAGAAATTGAGCAAGAATAGTAAGCTACTCGGTGTATAAATGCCTTCATTTGCAAATTAATATTTTAAACAACTAAAATAAAAGAGTATATACGCAGAGCTGCAAGGTGAGCACAAGGTGATAAAGAAACTGTCATGTACATGGTTAACGTTAACTTAGCTTGTTGTTTTCCCTAAGTGCTATAGAACAATGTGATAAAGGGCTGGAAAAGACAGCTCCTTTGTTTCGCTCTCATTAGAGAGGGCCGTCTCACACTCCACCCTTGACTGCCTCGTTATTCCTTTAATTAATCAGTTCTCGTCAACGGCACCTTATCATTCTTTCAAGGGCTCTACATCCCGCTTTTTACCGCCTCCATTTTCCTCCGGCAGTCCTGCATGTGTTTCTTTTATCATTTCGGAAAGGCTTACTCCTCCCCCAAAAAGTCCCTGCGTCCTCCTGCCTCCTCTGCCTGGGACCCCTGTCTGATTATTATGCCATTAAGCCTCTCCTCCTCTCCTCTGAAAGAGCAGCAGGGTCCCTCTCCAATCTAAAGAAGTCCTGGGTTTTTTCCCCCTCCTTTCCCTGAAATTACCCGGCAACGCGTGCCTGAGTTTCTAATTGGCATGCCCGTCCCTGGAGACGGCCCCCTCCCTTCTTCCTAATGAAAAGCCTCGGCCTTAATTACACTTTCCAAACGCTGATTGTTATTGACAAAACTCCTGTGGCTCGGACAAACGACGGCAGATTAGCTCCATTACAGGCAGCCCTCCAAGAAGAGAAAGAGAGGGATTTCAAATCGACAATGCAAAGTGAGCGGGGGAAAAAGAGGAGCTTTCAATTTTTGTCCATGTACCTTCCTCTTAATTGTTTGGGCCGTTGCTCCACTTAAGACGTCTCTTTCTTCCCCGATGCCTTTTTCTGTTCCATTGTGTTGCCGTCTATGTACTTTTAGTGAGGGGACAAAAGCCTAGTTATGTTACTTGAGAAAAAATGTTCATCTTTTGTCAATAGACAGGATTGCTGATGGCAGCATGGGTAAACATGAGGATTTGGCGTAATGCTTTTGTTTGCCTGCTAAAGGTACATAGACTGTCTAAAGCTGATAGGGCTGTAAGGTCCAAAATCAACAACCAGACAGGCAGCCGGATTCTCATAGTGCCGGCAATCATTTTATTGTTGAAAATGAACAGAAAGCCATAGCCTTTAGTTTAGAGATCAGACTATTCCACTCTTAATTATTTCATTTCACCATACTCGAACCGTTTGGCTCATTTTAACTATTTCTTCCACTATATCTGTTGCTCTACTAAGTCGGCAGGGCTTAGACCTGGACAGCTGTGCCTGTTGTGCACATGTTTTCCAGGCTCAACAATATCTCCGTCTTCCTGATTAATCTGGAGCGGAGCACACAGATTCACAGTGGGGGGGCCTTTCATTGCCTCTCTAATGAGAAGCTGTGATACATCATGCCTTGCAGTTAGCCAATCGCACCCTAGCCCCCAGGCACACACACACAAACAAATACACACACTCATGCACACAAACACAAAACAGGAATAATAAAGCACGTTCTGCGAGGCATCTACGCAAAAGAAACCTACACGCTACCAAATCTGACCAGATGCTGTAATCATACCTATACTCATACCTATACTCCTGTCCCAGGTCAATTACTCTTATCATCTCAGTTTCTGAGAAGTCTGTACACTGCAAGGGATATCTTCATTATATATTATTCTATCGATTATTCAATTCATCTATAGAAATTATAAAAATAGGATAAAAAAAAATCTATCTCAGATTCTTAAAGTACAGGGAACTGTTATAAAAATAGTGAAGGCACGAAATGCATAGGAGAATTTTCTAAAAGAAATTCAATAAAAAAAATCACTTTATTTTATATCAATATTCTAACTGATAAATAATAATTTAACAACAGTTAATACATTTGCAGGGTTTGTCATATAGTAGTTATGTACTGTATTGTACAGTTAAGCAACAAATATTTGTTATAGAGGTTGCTGGTCTCAGGGGTGGGGGGGGAAAACATCTTTCACACTCCAGTGATTTTTCCTTTTTTTTTTTTACATAGTGAATTGCGTAGACTGAGTATGTTTCAGTGTTGTTGTGAGGGCAAAGGTGTCTTGTAAGGAGGGTGTTTTTATGTGCTGTGATGCAGCGACATGGGATGAAATAACTTGTCTTGAGTTAAGGGGGGAGGTGAGAGGAGAAAAATACCTTGTATTGTCCTTTTAAAAAAGGCTTTGCAGGCCTCACAAGAGGCCACCCCATAGTGATACCCCGAGGCTATATCTCCACAGACCAGGCACAGCCTCTTGGGGAGGGAGTTCAACATGTATTCGCACTTTATGGACGAGTCCTCCATGATGGTGCTGGAGCAGTCGTCGTAGCGCTTGCGGCAGGTGCCGGCCCCGAGCCCGCCGGGGGTGAACATAGGTGGAGAGTCCAGGCCGTTGGAGTGGCTATTGGAGTGGCTATTGGAGTGGCTGTTGGAGTGGCTGTTCATCGTGCTGACATAGCCGCCACTGGCGTCTGAGTTCCCGCTGGGGCTGTGGTGACTGACCGTGTCAATGACTGAGGAGGGACTGGATGGCTCCGTCTTGATGTAGGACCCACAACTGGAGGGTAGGTGCCGGTCATCAGCGGCCATTCTATTCAGCAGCCTGAAGGAAGGGTGAGGAGAGGAGGGGGAGGGTTGGTGGGAAAGAGAGGAGGAGAAGAGATTATTAGCAGAGGAGAGCATACATTTATCTAATCAACCAGTGGAGTGACATCAATAACTAAACAGGTAAATATTTGATTGACATTTAGTATCATGATTCTGTGGACACATGACAATTACAACACAAATGCTCTTTTGCTTTAACTAGAAGTTACGTCAAGTTTATAGTTAATCAATCACACTGCTTGTAACTCTACTACACAGTGCCACTGCTTTAACGGGAGGCAGAAAAGGTGGGAGATGATGCGTTATGTCGATTTTATGTGATGAAACCAAATGGGGGATTCTATGTGCTTCATTAGCCAAACAAAACGGCAGCTGAAAAAGTGCTGCAGCGTAAAACTACAGTCTTTACATCAGCACACAGTGGCACACATGCCCAAACAACACAAACACAAAGGAAAGGAAAGTGAAAGAGGGACACATGGAGGATGAACAAGAGGGAGAGATGGAGCACTCAAATAACTTAACACACAAGTGCACAAACACACACACACACAGAGCACATCTAGTGTGGGGCATCTCCATAGTTTAGAGAGCAGAGTGGACCTTGGCTTGTCTCCTTGAGTCAGCAGTCAACCAAAAGGAAACATGATGGCAAGATATTGACTTTTTCACTGTCTACCTAATAACTGTATTTTGGAGTACACGCAATATGATGCTGTAACGTGTGCAGACTAAAGTGCAGCCTTTTGGCTGTGGCCACAAAATGCACTCTGAAGCCTTCCTTGCCCATATAAATCTATTTCAGTCTCGCTCTATAACCTTTAACTTGATATTGCACTGGGAGAACAATGGGGGAAAAAACTTAGCCTGGACATGTTCAACTCGTTTTTCCCTCCGCAAATGGAGTGAACTGAAGGGGTGGACCGGTGGAAGAGATGGATAACTCAATGTATTGGGGATGCTGTGTAGACAGAGTGACCTCTTAGGGTCAAGGCGAGGTCACACAGTTACATACACACACACCCCTTTGCATTAGGAACCACGGAAGGGGTGAGAGGTCACCTGCACTTGCCTGCATTAACAAAATTGAGCCTTGCATGGCTTATGCAAATTCAGACACAGGGGTTCCTAGTGAGTGGCAGCTAGACAGCCCGAAGTTGTGCCTTAGCACATTAGTACCATTAGCATATTGCCAACTAATGGCAATGTTTACATATTTGACATGTCAGTTTACCATCAGCACGGGGTGAGGAGGGG